GACTGCCACTTGGTACCACTCTTTCCACTGTCCAAGACCTTCTCCCGATGGTTTGTCACGCACAATGATGTATAACTGCTGCCATGTCCATGATGTCCTACGTGGGTAAATTGGGACTACTGAATTCCTGGCTCACTTCTATGGCCATGTTCTCGATGTGTACTCTGAGTCTCAACCCCACGATAATTGGTCAGCTTGATAAGATACGCCGTCATTTCCTCTGGGTTAAGAAAATTGATCAGGGAGACAAAATTAATTCTCTGGCTGCATGGGACTTAGTGTGTCGCCCGAAAAAACATGGTGGTTTGGGGGTCATCAATCTTCGTGTCCAAAATGACGCTCTACTTCTGAAGTTCCTACACAAGTTCTATAATCATGAGGACAACCCCTGGGTGCATCTGGTTTGGCACACCTATTACAATGGCGTTATACCACACGCTCAGGAGCCCTGCGGTTCATTCTGGTGGAAGGATGTCATGCAACTTAATCCAATTTTTTGTGGTATCACCACCGTGCAAGTTCAAAATAGTGCGTCTACTCTCTTCTGGAAAGATGCTTGGCAAAACCATATCCTTTCGCCTGCCTTCCCTCAAGTATTCTCCTTCACAACCAGAGAAGACATCTCAGTTCGTGACTTCATGAACACCACTGATATCACTAAGATCTTTCAACTACCATTGTGACCGCAAGCTCATAATGAACTTATGCAACTTAAAGATGACATAGGGAAGTTGCAGCTCGACGATAACCATGATACTTGGATTATACTTGGGGGGTCACGACTTTCAAGACAAGAGACTACTATGAATTTTATTTCAAAGATATTCTTGTGTCTGATGCGTTCAAATGGCTATGGAAATCCAATCCAAAACACAAAGTCTTTGGTTGGCTACTCCTAGTGGACAGGTTGAACACCTGCAATATGGTCAAGAGAAGACACTACAACATTGGCTCCAACTTTGATTGTCTCTTGTGTGGCACACATATTGAGGAAAACATGGAACACCTCTTCTTCCACTGCAGCTTTAGTAAGGAATGTTGGCAGGCTCTCGGCATACATTGGGCACCCTCTTGTGGCAGACTGGACCTCTTGCAATTTGCCAGAGGTGCCTGGTCACGTCCCATGTTCATGGAGATCTTCTTGACTGCTGCATGGAGTTTGTGGAAGGAGCGCAACAACAACCACTTCAGAAAAATCACCCCCACTGTGCTGGCCTGGAAGAACAGATTCACCTCCGACTTCAACAACCTCAAGTACAAGACTTCAGGGGGCGCCAGAGATTTCATTCCTACCTTTTTAGTTGAGAGGTCTTTTACTACTAGTGTGGTACACTGGTTCTTCTTTGTCTAGTCATCTACCACTTTACTCTACCCCCCATCTACAAAACCTTGCTACTTTTTGAGTGCCCCCATCACCCAAAGTGGTGATGACCCTCCCCTTGTAAATATGTAACTTTTTTATTCTTTAATTTAATTTGCAGTATGAGCCTCTCCTATTGTTTTAGGTCAAAAAACACAATTTAACAAAGAAGGAGTAGTAGTGATGGTGATTTTGATGTTTGAGGTTACCTCGTTGATACCTTTGGCCATGAGGCACTTAGCAATGAGGTTCTCGTTGGGGGCACCAAAGAGAGACACCTTGGAAGGGGATGAGGTGGTAATGGCCATGGTTGCCATTGCCATTCCTTCACCACTTGTGTCTTTGTCATCATCATCGGAGGTGTACTCTTCATGTGCCATCAAGGCCTTTGGAGGTATCTTCTTGGTGAAGTTGTTCTTGTTTGGGAAGGACTTGGCTTTGTCTTTGCAAATGAGTTTGCCATCGTTGTCTTCCATCTTCTCATAAGGACAATCCACCACAAAGTGACTCACATTGCCGCAATTGTAACAAGTCCTCACTCGTTGCTTGTTCTTTGAGCCACTTGAGTTGTTCTTGGTGAAGTTGGGCCTTGAGTTCCTCTTGTTGCCCCAAAACTGCCTTGACGCAAGAGCCATGTGCTCGTGGTAAGCATATTTGGTGTCTTTGGGGCAACCATCCTCTTCTTCCTCTTATTCTTCTTTAGGAGTGGCCTTCGGCCACAAGGCAAGGGTGGGTGAGCTTTTCTTTGACCGGACACGGGCTAGAGCATTGTCGGCGGTCTTGTTCATGATGTTCATGGCAATAAACTCATCCAACACTTCACTTGAGGACAAGGTGTGGAAGTTCGGTCTTTGATGAATCACGGAGGACATGGTCTTGTTGAACGACATGATGGCCTTGAGAAACTTGCGCTTGATCCAATTGTCATCCGTATCCTTGCTCCCATGGTCTTGAAGAGCAACCGCAAGAGTTGTCGCTCTTTGGTAAAGATCACGAGGATCCTTATCTTCTAGCATAACAAATTCATCGGCCTCGTCGAGGACCACCTCAAAGTTGGACCGTTGGATGCTTGAGCTCCCATCCTCATCTTTTGCATGAGTGAATGGACGCAAGTGAGATAGATCTTCGGGAGGAACCGCGGCTTGAAGAATGAACAAAGCGGAGTGGTTGTATTGATTGTCTGCTTCTTCTCTTGGGGTGAAATTGTTTGGATCATGAGGGTAGAAGCCTTTCTCGATGACTCTCCAAAGATTTGTTGAGCTATGATTCAAATGAGACTTGATGCGAAAAAACCCAATTAGCAAAAATACCCTTAACAAGTTTAGGAGGAGGACCAAGGTGGTTAATATGCGGTGTAGCGACCAGTCCTCCATAGACCGGGGGAGGGGGAACCGCGCAAATGTTCCCGTCCCATTCTTGTTTTGAGGAGGGGCGGATTGAGTACCTTTAGCCGCTTCCTTGTCGGAGTTGGCCTCCGATTCCGATGCGGTGGGATTAACCACAAGCAACGGATTCGGGGAAGTTTTCAACCCCTCAAGGATTTGACCTCGGTCATCATAGACGTCTTAAGTGAAGCCATAGCTTCATTTAAGTTGTCCCGAGTGAGCGAGTTCAACTCCATAGCCCCGGGCACTTCATCCCCACTACCACCGCCGTCAACCATACTCTTTGGGTGATGAACCTAATAAAGAGATGAGGCTCTGATACCAATTGAAAAGATCGATATGGTTGACCAGAGGGGGGGGTGAATAGGCAAGTACAATTTTTAGCTTTTCTTAATAAATTAGGTTTAGCACCAAGTAGGTTGTTTAGATGTGCAACTAGGTGAGCAACCTATATGATGCTAACAATAACAACAACAAGAGCAAACAAGATATGCAACACAAGTAATGCTTGCACAAAGTAAAGGTAAGAAGTACACAAGTTGAGCCAGTGAAGATGAGGATGTGTTACAGAAGTTCCTTTTGAGTAGAAGTAGTGCTTGAGTTGACGGTTTTCATTTCGTTAGGCCCAAGTGCTTCAGTTCACCGGCTCCCTTTTCTGCTAGGCCATGATGTTTCAGTTGGAGAATACTTTGGACAAGTATAAACTAAGTGATGTGAGGATAAGCTAGACCTTATTTTGGCATTAAGATGTTTTCAAATCGCAAAGGCATATCTTGGCAATCTGCATCAGGTAAGGTGTCTCACCACACAAATGACAAAAATTTTACTAGTAGAATGCAAGAACTGCCCACTATTCATATTGAATGGCTCGCAGCACGTAACGTCTGAACTAACCTTTGTAATTTACAACCAGACTTTTGTTTGGCACGAGAGGTGTTCCAGTGGAAAGTGACAATCAAGCGATCGTTCGACATCAGAGAAAAATCATGAAACGATGCATGTACGAGCAAGAAGTAGGTGAACACGATCCATCATGCGATCATGAGTGTGTAGCTGACAGTAGTGGAGATGCCTCATTAATTAAATAAGAAGGACAAGCAAAAACAAGTGTGAGATGTAGCGTACTTATCAACTGATGACGCGAGATTATACTGTTCGTCTGTGATAGGTATTAGCTAGCCACGCCGGTGCTATTTGTTCTGTTTCCTGGAAACGTTGGGCGTGAACAGCCACTACATGCAGTGCCCTGGCATGTGTCTGGTACAGACAAAAATATTCTAACGCGCAGAACTCTCAGACTGGTGTGGAAGGTAACTTAGACTAATAGGCTGTCTATAATGGATAGTACCATACTTTCTCCGTTCTCAAATATTTGTCTTTTTAAAGATTTCAACAAGTTACTGCATAAGAAGCAAAAGGAATAAATCTACACTTCAAAATATGTCTATATACATCTGTATGTTGTAATCCATTTGAAATCTCTAGAAAGATAAATATTTGGGAACGGAGGGAGTACAAGTTATTATCATGTACTCCCTCCGTCCCAAATTTTCTGTCTTAGATTGTTTAAGATACGGATGTATCTAACACTAAAAGACTTGATACATTCGTATCTAGATAATATACATCCATATCTACATAAATGTAAGACAAGAATTTTGGGACGGAGGAAGTATATGTTATTAGTGTATCTCTGTAATGAGTATTAGTGTAGTATTTATTAGGATATGGTACAATGATAGAATACTCAACCCTTTTTTCTTCGTTTAGTTATATGGCATGCACCTCATTGAAATTGCCTAATCTACTAATCATGTTACGATAACATATTTACATTACCACACACAACTCTCTTCTCATTAACACTTGTCACGTAAACAAACTTGTCTTCGGATATATTAGTAGCTAAATTACTCTCATTATGGCAGTCTCATCGGCCATCATTGTAATACGCCAGCTTTCAACAGAAGATAGATTCAACTCAACTAAAAGAAAACAGAAGATAGATCAAGTGGCACGTGCATGTTGTGCCGATCAATCAATCCACCATCTTTTTCTTGCACCAGCTAACCCTAAACAATCTACGTACGTACTTGCTAGAACATAGAAAAGCAAGGAGAAAAGAGGAGCATCCAGATCGACCACCAAGAACCATGCCGGAAACTAACAAGTTCACAAAACCATCAAATCCCACGCGAGAAACGATGCGGCGCCGCGTCGTATTTACACTTTTACAGTACACAACGGGTGGAGCTTCACGTGGCCTTCAGCACGTGATGCTGCTGGCCATGGCCGTGCCGGACGGCACCGGCAGCGGCGCCGCGGTTGTCCTCGACCGGGGCGGCGTTGCTGCCCTTGATAAAGTCGAGGCAGTCCGCAACGGCGCGCGCGTAGAAGGAATTCGACCGCATGCACGGCGGCCTCCGCGGCTTGGCAACGTTGCCACCGGCCGCCGGTGACGCTGCTGGCGGCTGCCCTTTCTTGTTGCCGCCGCCGCCGCTCGTTGACGCGGGAGAGCTGCTGCTGGCGACGAGCCCCCTGGTAAGCTGCGGCAGGCGTACGCCGCGAAAGTAGCGGCCCAGCAGGCCGAGCATGGTCCACAGCCTGGCGCGTAGCCGGCGGACGGAGAGGCGGGTCGGGCTGAGCCGGAACCCCCTCGCCGGCCGCCGCCACCGCCGGCCAAGCTTCGCCTGCGAGAAGTACTTGATCTCCTGGGCACCCATGGCCACGACCACTGCTCTAGCTTCCCTCTCTCCTGCCTCTAGGTACCGCTCGCCACTTGTATACGCTAACTTCGCCCCGATCAACACGTATACATGTACGTAGTACTCGTGAGCTGTGAGCTAGCTCAGCTCCGTTGGTTGGAGGTCAAGTGGCGACCGGAAACGGCGATATATAGGGGGAGGGGGGCAGGGGGAGGAAGACGGCAGGAAGGTAGGTGGGTGGGCTTTGACGAGCGCGAGCCAGCAATGGAGTGTGGCGGCAGATTTGGGGACATGGCGGGATTGATTAATTGTTGCTTAACTAATGCGTGGTGGACAAAGGAGAAAAGCATGTACAGGCCAAGCCAGTGCGCCCTAATGATCGATGGGTTTGTTCGTGTAGAGGACAGAGTTTTATAATCCTCTTTCCGAAAGGAAGTAGGTGATCGTGTAGAATGTGAAAGGCGCGCGCCTTCCGTTTCCGCGTAACTGGTTTCCTTGGACGCTCTGCGGTGGAGGCGGGCTCTTTGGTGCGCGCGTGCGTTGCAATGTCTGTAGATTCCACTTCGAGTTCACTGGCTGAAGATGTGGTCAGATCGAAACGACAGCAGCTGGACTAAACACCACTAGGTAAGGTTGTTGGGTTGGGTGAAGGTTGACTAATGTTGCGTCGTAAACCCAAGACACGAGTACCTTATGTTTATAGCATTTCAAGTTGGGCTCCTGAATGGGTTAACCGGCACTCCTCATATATATCCAGTTTATATCTGATGCGGATATAAGGAGGCGGCGTGTCCGTCACGTCGGACCCGACAAACCGAATCATCATAAATTTTATCAAATTGACCAAATTCATCAAAACGACTGTCCTCCTTCTGCGTCTTTACTGAAGAATTTTGTTAGGCAACCCCGCGGCGCCGGCCTTAGGGCATCTCCAATTGCAACCCGCAATTTTTTTCACATCCATCCGCGGACCGGGAGGGGGGGGGGAGGGGGGAGGAGGGGAGTCTGCAGACCTGGATGCGGGATGTCGACATTCAATGCTAGCCGCATGCACTTCAAACTTTTTTTCAACAAACCGGATAAAATTCATGCAAACATGGCCGAATTTCGTACAAACATGACGGATTTCATATAAACCGGATGAAAACAGTTACATTTTGACATATTTTCAACTAAAAAGCTAAAACTATGTGCACGTACAGTCGCGCGGAGCTCCACTCCCACAACACGGATACACTACACTAGTCTACGGCCGATAGCGGCTGATACCTTTGTCTTCCCATGTCCGGCAGCCCGCTAACCGAACTGCCGGGAGCCCCGGAGGCATATTCTTTCCCCGTATCTTCCCTATGTCGGGTTGTGCCGCTCATCGGAGCGGCAAAGAGGGTGCTTCGGCCGAGGGCGAAAGGTGCTTCCGTGGAGCTCAGGCGGGTGCCCAGGATGGTCTGAGATAAAGGAGAACCGACTAGGGCACCGGCGGTGGCCTCCCGTGTTCTACTTCTCCTCGATGATGGTGGTGCACGCGAACGTGCTAGCCGCCACCTTGTCGACATCCGCGCACTCGGCTTCTTTCTCTGCGTGCATGGCGCGGCTACGTGCGCATCGACGGCGGATGGCACGGTTGCAGGCAGTGGATGCAGCGACGCCCGTGACGCCATGCTCCTCATTGTGCCGGCGTGGAGTAACTGGCCACTCTTCATCGAGCTGGCCTCGAGCGGCGAGTTGCTGAACCACACGCCGGCTTGGGGCGGCAACTGGCTCCGACGGGCTAGGCGGTGGAGGTGGGGCAGCGAGCTGCCTCGCTCGTATCCGGTTGGCTCGGCTGGCCACCCAGCCGTCTTGTATGCGGAGGCATATGCTCTTCGAAATCCATCGGAAGAATGGTGAAAATGGTTAAGGAGGAGATAGGGGGCGGTGGGGTGCGATTCTTGCCCGGCGTCCGGCCTCGTTTAAATAGAGGGCGGGCGGGTGGAGCTCGGTCGGCATTGCGTTTAATGTCGGCCTGCTCATGGACGGACGTGTGGCCGGCGTAGATTTCTCGGCTTTCTTGCGGGATTAATGGAGACATATGAATGCGGCGAGAGGCGTGTTTAGCCAGGCGTGCAGCGGGCGGCGCCCTCGGCTGGCGAGCCGCTTCAATGGTAGAGGCAGTGAGAGGTCGCGTTCGTCCTGAGCCACCTTCAATGCGGAGCAGCGCGCTCTACAGCGGCATGAATGTTGGCAGCTGGCGCCGGATAGGATGCGCGCGCGAAAGGGGGAGGGGTTTTTGGTGGGCCAGAGCGGTCAGAAGCGGCCCTGGGATCAGTTTGGATTCCCGTAAAACTCCCCACTTTTTTTTCAGTTTGTGGGAGAAATCACGTCCATACCGTCCCACGGACCGATACAGGTCGACGTTGGATGACTTCCACGGTTTGGACAACGAGGTTCGGACGGTTACGGGAGGTTTACGGGTCGGTGTTAAAGACGCCATTAGAAATAGGAACGGATCCGTTCTATTAATTCATGCATCGGCTAAGTTTGTAAAAAGTTGAGATTTCAAGCCTGTTGGCTAGTAGGGTTTAAGCCAGCAGAAACAAAAGGCATTTTGTTCATTCACTCGCAGAAACAGATCGATTCCATTAGTAACCAGGTATCTATCTATCAACCCCTCCTCGCTTGGCACACAGAGAAGCGAGGAACAGGGGGTGGAAATTGGTTTGCTTTGTTGGAGACAATAAAACGGGAGTATTTAACCAAAAACTACCACAATTCGCGGAAACGTGACAGAAAACTACCACTTTACGATTTTGTCCCGAAAACTACCACTTTTTGTCTAATCCGTGACTAAAAACTACCAAGTGTGAAAATTGCTCGCTTTGCTTGGGTTAAACGCGAATCTGACTGCCCGACCCCACACATAAACGGGCTAAAAATGCAATCGGGTCCCTAGTTTTTCTTAAAAAAGCAATCGGGTCCTCCGCCTCATTCTCCTCCTTGTCACCGGCCTCCTCCTTCCCCAGCCGCTTGCCGCCGGCGGACGGGAACGGCTGCTGCTGCGGCGAGTGGTCGTCCTAGATAAGCAAGCATCCGCCGGCGCCCGTCTCGACGAGCCGGCCGCGGGAAGCGAGAACGGCCAAGAGGCCGGTTGACCGCCCCCGCGTGCGGAAGAAGCTCGCCGGCGAGGGCACGGCCACGGTGGGAGGCGCCGCGGCGGAGGCCAAGAAGGAACTCTCCCTCGCCCCGCCAGTGCCCTGCTCCAGCATCGCCGCCGGATGCCTCAAGCTCCAGATCCGGCCGACCTCGCCGCTCCCCTCGGCCTCCCGCAGCTGCCTATTGCCGGCCATCACCATGGTTCGAGGAGCCCGAGCCTTCATCTGCTCCTCTCGCCCTGCGCCGGCCTCCACCAGCACCCATGGCCGCCGCTTGCTAGTCACCACCACAGCCGCCGCGCCCCTGCTTGCTGCTTCGACTTCATGCCCGAGCTTCGTTTTCGTCATGGACGTGAGGTAGCAGCACGGCGAAGTGTTTGACGAAATGCCAAAGAGGGAGGAGGAAGAAGATTAATACTGACAGGTGGGCCCATCCTGTCAGAAAGGTGTTTAGAAGAGGTGAATCGGGCATTTTCCCGACATGGTAGTTTTTAGTCAAAGATTAGACAAAAAGTGGTAGTTTTTGGGACAAAATCGTAAAGTGGTAGTTTTCTGTCACGTTTCCGCGAATTGTGGTAGTTTTTGGTTAAATACTCATAAAACGGCTAATGATATACTAACCGTATAGTATACTCCAAAGTCCACACATCGGCCGTAGGAGACAAGAAACATGTGGAAAATTGGTGAGCACAGTTGTCGACGACAAGGCACAGGCAAATGTTATGCCATGTGGAAATCTTTGATGGGAGGCATTAACGAATTGCACAATGTACAATCGGGTTTGGTTGTTCTTCAGGTTGCAAGGGACAATCCTGCCGCCCAAATTTGAAGTCAACACGGCCAATCTAGACGCCATAGCCATAGGCCAGACGCAACCCACGCAAGCACATGCACAGTGACAGACATGCGAATCTATTCTTCCTGAATTTCTTTAGGGACATACTGGACGTTAGGAACATAATCAAACTTGGTTGGATTCAACTTTCTTCTGATCCCTCTTGCGAGAAGAAAAAAAAAACTTCCAATTCTCTATCTGCCCCATCCCTTCGTCGGCTTACTATTGAATTTTGGCCACCGTGAACATAATCCCAGGATCCCTATCAAGCATAACATGATTCTATCAGAACTATTCGATACACGGATATAGAGTTTGTTTTTAGGGAAATAAAGATATATAGTTATTTTAGGAGAAATGATTAGCATCCACCGGTGGATTGCTCCCAAACGTCAACCGCCTTCATCGTCTACCACGTGTTCATGTGGCCCCGCCCGCTGTCCACCTTTCCTTCCCCAGAAACATCGCGATCCTATCACTCTCATCTCACCCAGGAACAGTTGCAGGGCCTTGGTTTGCATGGGCATTAGTTGATAAATTTCTGTAAAAAGACCTTCGTTGCAGAATAGTTCTGCAACAAGATCTTTGTTGTGAAAAAAAATCTACAAATTTTCAGACTTTTGTAACCAGACTTTTGTCACGAATTTTTTCAACAAAACCGTTGTTGTAAAAAATGGGAAACGTTTACCATCATCCCGCGGATCGCGACGGCCACCTCCACGTGTCCAAGTGAAGGCTTGCATGCCGTTCTTAGTCGGACGCGCTTTCTGCAACAAGAGCTATGTTCCTGAAATATATATGGTGTTGCAATGGTCTATAATGGGATATATGTTTTGCAATAAAACCTTTGTTGCGGCAATTTTCTGCTACAAGACCTTAGTTGCAAAAAAATGTAGTTTTTTCCAGAAAAATGCAGTTTTTTCAAT